TGTGTGTGTGTGTGTGTGTGTGTGTGTGTGTGTGTGTGTTGGTGGGCCAAGTGCCTGATGCACAAGTTTGAGGTCCTGAGTTTGAATCCCCAGCACCCACATAAGAGCCAGTGCTAAATAGGGGGTAGAGTCAGGCAGATACCAGGGGCTCGGTGCGAATCCAGGTTCAGTGAGAAACTGTCTCGGAAAATAAGGTAGAGGGCTGGAGAGAGGGTTCACTAGTTCAGAGCATTTGCTGCTGGGGCAGATGACCCAAGTTCAGTTTCTAGCATCCACTCGAGGCGACTGCGTCTCCGGGGGATCTGACTGACAGACACTCTCTTCCGGCCTCTTTAGGCGCATGCGCACACATGCACATGCACACAGCAAGACGCGAACACACGTAACTAAAAATTGAGAAAAAAATTTAAAAATACCGTATACGCACAATTGAACGCTATTCAGCATCGTGAAGGGAGGGAAGAAGTCCTGTGGGTGTGGCAGGCCACCCGGGTGAGCCTGAGGTGTATCGAGCTGGGTGACAATAAGCCGAGCAGAAGAGGACAAAGCCACACGGGTCTCACGTAGATGTGAAATGTAAAGGAAATCAAGGTGGTAAATGAAGACAGTGGAGGGGTTACCAGCCACTGGGGGCGGGAGAGGGCGGGCTGAGGGGGCAGAAAAGGGCAGCCAGAGGAGTGTGTCTAGGCAGGAGGGCTACGTTCTGCTGACCCCGCTGCCTGGATGGTGTGACACACACACACAATCCACACCTATAACCCCGCCCTGAGGAGGCAGAAGCTGGGGGAGGTCACTCTGAGTTTTGGACCTTCCTAAACTGCATACCAGACCCTGTCTCAAAACAACCAACCAAAATAAAAACATGTCTTTGTTACCAGAATTACTGGAGGCTGGGTTTTTGAATGTTTCTGCCTCTGATGGCTGGCCTTGGTTGGTGACTTGGCCACATCTGGAATCAACTGAAACCCCAGCAGCTGGGCACACCTGTGAGGGATTTTCTTGATTGGCTCATCTGAGATGAGAAGACACACCCTAAATCTGGGCAACACCTGGTGGCAGCCTACGTAAAAGGGCATGGAGGAAGAAAGCTTTTTTTGTTTTGTTTTTATTTTTATTCTTTGCCTGCTTGCCCTCACTCTCACTGTCCACCTTGCTGACTCACTCCTTCATTGGGATTAGAACCTACTTCTTCACAGTTCCAACACAGGAGATCAGCAGCTCTCTGGGAATCCTCTGGGACGCCAGCTCCAGATTGGGACTGCTGAGACACCCAGCCTGCCGGACTGAACAACACATGGATTCTTGACCTTTCCGCCAGAGATGGCCATTGTTGGACAGTCCTGACCACAGAAAGCCAGTCTAATAAATCGTATATGCATGAAGATATATATCATGTATATTGTACACACACATTCATCCTATCAATTCTGTTCTCTTAGAGAACCCTAATACAAATAACCATAAAGATGGCAAGTGTATGAGGTGATAGTTTAGTCATTAACCTAGTCAATCATCCTGTGACCATCTAAGAGCATATAATTATTATTTGTCAATTAAAAATACAATAACAGAATTTAAATATTTAAGATGGCCCAAATAGCTGGGTGGTGGTGGCGGCGGCGCACACCTTTGATCCCAGCACTTGGGAGGCAGAGGCAGGCGATCTCTGTGAGTTCGAGGCCGGGCTGGACCGACAGCCTCCAAAACAATACAGAGAAACTCTGTCTCGTTAAAAAAAAAAAAAAAGATGGCCCAGATTTCTGTTCTTTTTGTGTGTATGTAAGAGCTGGAGGATCAAATAATCAAATACAGGGCTTTACCCATCTAATGGCTCTACCACTGAGTTGAACTGCCCACTTGAAGGTGGTAGACTTTATACACATGTATAGGTATATGTTGTTTTTACAAGACAGGGTTTCTCTGTGTAGTTTTGGAGCCTGTCCTGGAACTCACTCAATAGACCAGGCTGGCCTGGAACTCACAGAGATCCACCTGCCTCTGCCTCCTGAGCGCTGGGATTATTTTAATCCCAATTTTGTATTGTGGAGGTGTGTGTGTGTGTGGTATGTATATTATGTGTGCACACACATGTTGGGACTCAAAGTCGACAAACTAGCACCCATCCTTGACCATTTTACTTTTTTTAAATATATACTTTATATTACGTCTACAAGTGTTTTGCCTGCATGCTTATCTGTGTATCATACGCACGCCTGGTGCCCATAGCAGTAAGGACTGGGTCCCCTGGAACCAGAGTTATGGACAGCTGTGAGCTGCCACATGCATGGGTGCTGGGAATCAACCTGGGTTCTCTGGGAGGACAAGTGCTCCTAACTACTGAGCAATCTTGCCACAACTCCACCATTTATTTATTTGTTTGTTTGTTGACAGTGCCAACCGCTGAACCATCTTACCTGATCTCCACCTTTATTATTTATTATTTATTGGCAATGCCTCACTAAACCTGATGCTCAGCTCACAGAGTCAGGTTGGATGGCGGACCAGTGAGCTCCAGAGACCTAGCTTTCTCCACCTGCAGCAAGACTGGGGTTACAGATGCTAGTCACTGAGCCAGGCTTTTTAACTTGGTTCTTGGGATCCACTCTTGGGTTCTTGTACTTGCATGGCGGGCACTTTACTAACTGGGCCATCGCCCCAGCCCCGATTTTGGCAGATTAAAAAAAAAATAGAAAATACCCTCCAGCCAGGGAAGCAGGTAGTCTAACTACAGATCCTTCAGTCTTATCCCAGCTGGGACCACCTCTCTTCCCACCTCTACCCCCTCTCCAGAAGCTCTCACAGACCTTTCCTTCCTAACCTTCCCCCCAGTTCATCAATCTATCCCAGGCTTCAACTCCAAGGCACTCCTTGCCAGGGAAGCAGGAAGGCTAAGCGATCTTCAGGTATCCTCCTTCTTCTCCAAATTCAGTCCCCCAGTTTCATCCCTAGCTCTGTTACAGACCGTCCACTTCAGCCTCTCCTCACTCTCTGCCCCCACTCCCAAGAGACAAAGCAGACGCTACAGAACACTGACTTCCTCCCTCCTACGGAACCCTTCCGTCCCCATCCCACCTCTATTCCCAAGGGTCAGCTCCCGATATCCAGAAACACATTCTACACAGAAGAATTTCCTGCTAGGCAGCACACAACCAACACACTCTCCTAAGAACCAGAGATGGCAACGGAAACCAAGGAACAAAAAAAAAAAATTCCAACAAAGACAAGACCAGATAGCAGCACCTAGAATTACAACTTTACCAATACCAGATGCCTAGATGCCAGCATAAAAACACAATCAATTATGGCCCGGATAATATGTCTCCACTAGAGCCCAACAACCCTACAACAGCAGACCCTGGGTATTCCAACATGGCTGATACACACACACACACACACACACACACACACACACACACACACACACACACACACAGATGAAAAACATTTCCACATAGTCTGAAAGTGGGCGTGAGACAGTATAGAAAGACCAGAAACTGAAGTCCCGATGTGAAAACTGAAAGGAGCCCCTCACCCTGGGACTCGCTTTCCATCTCCTGCCGTCTGAGAGTCAAGTGGTTTCAATACAGCCGGTAAACTCAAAACTGTCTGCAGAGACAGGGCAGGTCCCAGAGACACCTCAAAAGAGATGTCAGAAACACCAAACTGTGTTTACACGGGGTCAGGACGTGTGTGCCCTTCTGCTTAACTGCTAAAGCTCCCCTAGTCCCTAAATCCAAGCAGCATGCCTCATCAAAAATACTTTCAAAAGTTCCATTTGATTTCTATTCATGTCTGTGCATGTGGGTGCAGCCACCCAGAAAAGGGGGTGTCCAGGCCCCTGGAGCTGGAGTTACAGGAGGTTGTGAGCCGCCCACCCGTCTTGGGTGCTGGAAACTGAACTCTGGGCCCTCTGCAAGAGCAGTATGTACTCTTTACTGCGGAGCTCTCTCTCCAGTTCCCAAAACAAACCTAGAGACATTTATTACCTACCCCTCTGCGTGTGTGTCTGTGTGTGTGTGCAGGTGCACACGTGTGGTACATGTGAAAGTTAGAGGACTTTTGTTTGTTTGTTTTGTTTTTGGAGACAGGGTTTCTCTGCGTAACAGTCTTGGCTGTCCTGAACTCACTCTGTAGACCAGGCTGGCCTCCAGCTCACAGAGATCCACCTGCCTCTGCCTCCAAAATGCCGGGATTAAACGCATGTGCCACCACCACCTGGCAAGTGAGAGGATCTTGTGGGGATCTTTTCTACCTAGCGGGTTCCCAGGATGGAACTGCAGTCATCCATCTCTTTGGCGGTGGGCAGCTTTCCTCGCTGAGCAATCTCGACAGCCCCACACCCACAAATTCCTTAAGAGATTGTAAGCAAATCAGCCCGTCCATTTAAAAGTCTATTTATTTTATTATTTTGTGTGTATGAGTGTCTTGTCTGTATGTTTGTGTGTGTACAGCATGTGTGTACAGCACGTGTGTACGGCACGTGTGCCTGGTGCCCAAGGAGGTCAGAAGAGGGCATCAGATACCCTGGGACTGGAGCTACAGAGGGTTGTGAGATTTGAACCTGGGTCCTCTGCAAGACCTGTCAGTACTCTTGACTGATGAGATAACTCTTCAGACCTCCTCCACTTGAAAATTTGTTTTCTTTCTGATGACAGGGTTTCTCTGTTCATTTCCCTTTCCTCCTCTCCTCCCAGTCCCTCTCCCACTGGTCCCCTCTGCCTTCCATCCCCATCCCTCAGATACTAACAATTGTGGTGTATGAAGTTGCAGTAAGACTAAGCACCTCGCCTTGAATTAAGGCAGGGCAAGGGAACCCCACGTTTCTTTAGGAGCTTGGAGGAAAAGAATGCTAAGAGCAGGGCAGAGGATGGAGGCCTGTCTAGTGAAGTTTCAGAGGGCAGTTAAAGACCCTACCAGAGCCGTTTGTTCTTTTGAATCAAGATCCCGGGTTAGCTGGGGTTGGAGTCAGCTGTAATTAACAAGCGACCAGAACTACTAAAGTGAAACTTTGCTTCATTGGGATACTTGGTGCTGGTCGGTTGGAGCTAAGACGTTGGCAGTGATTAAGAAGAGACCAGCATCACTGAGGTGAGCACAGAGAAGCTATGTTCCAAAGGCAGCCGCGGTTATACCTCGTGCGGGCAGCGGGACTTGGTAATGTGTAAGAGCCACTCACGGGTGGATTCTTTTAATTTTACTTGAAATGTCTTGACTTATCCTCATTTTTTTTCTTTCAGTATTGGGGATGGAGCCCAGGACTTATGTCATACTGGGTGAGTGTTATGCTTCTCAGCTATATTCACAGTCCTGTTCTTGCCTTTTGTTTTGAGACAGTCTTACTAAGTTGCTCAGGGTTGAATTTATGGCCTCCCTTCCCAAGCCTGCCTAGTAGCTGGGGTTACAGGTCTGTGCCAGTAAGTCCAGCTTTACTCTCATTATTACTAATATCATTTTTTATAACCCTTGTGGTCCTGAAACTCACTCTGTAGCCCAGGCTGGCCCTGAACTCACAGAGATCCTCCTGCCTGTGCCTCGGGGGTGCTGGGATTAAAGGCGTGCGCCACCACTGTCCAGCTTTACTCCCGTCCTTAAAAGGGTCTGATTTGTTGAACCTGGTTGACAGGCGTCTTTCCAACACTCTGTTTTTGTTCTTTTGAGATAGGTCTCACTGTGCAGTCCTGGCCGGCCTGGCATTTGCCAGGCCCAGGTATATATTTGACCATGTTGTACCTAACTCTTGTTTCCCTTGAGTTTATTTTTGTGGGAGCTCCGAGAACTCTATAAAAATATAGTGTTTCCCACTAAAGAGAATTCCAGCCACTACTCTTTCCAGGGCCTTTTCCGGGTCCTTCTCCCGTCTTTGTCATTCCAGTGATGTACACAGATGTTGTCACATCACCCCATTTCTCCTCATCTCTAGATGATGTCTATCAATACTTGTCCCAGTCACTGAGTTTCCTCTGTCTCAGTTCCTGAATATACACATACAGTGTCTAGTTATGTTGTGAATTGAAAAAGAAAAAAAAAACAAACCTTCCACTGACTGAATGCATGTTTCCTTTATGCCAGATGCTACTGGCCTAGCAATTGCTTCATAATTCAGTGTTCTCTGTGTGTGCACCTGAGGTCATGTGTGTGCAGGGTATGTGATGGCCATTTGTGTGTGCACATGAGGTCATGTGTGTGCAGGGTATGTGATGGCCATTTGTGTGTGCACCTGAGGTCATGTGTGTGCAGGGTATGTGATGGCCATTTGTGTGTGCCCCTGCGGTCATGTGTGTGCAGGGTATGTGATGGCCATTTGTGTGTGCCCCTGCGGTCATGTGTGTGCAGGGTATGTGATGGCCATTTGTGTGTGCACCTGAGGTCATGTGTGTGCAGGGTATGTGATGGCCATTGGACAGCCTCAGGTGTTCTTCAGATACTGTCGACCTGTTAAAAGTATATTTTTTAAAAATGTGTGTGTGTAGGGGCACCTGTTCACATGTGTGTTTTTATATGCAATGTCGGTTTTTTTTTCAGAGCAGTTTGTTTGCTTTTGTGTGCATACATGTATGTACATATGGATCTGCACATTTGTATGGACAAATGCTCAGAGGCCAGAGGACTTTTTGTTTGGCATCAAGCCCTAGTTATCTCCCCATCCATGTCCCTCAGAGCACTGAAGTTACAGGTGTGCACGGGGCCATGCCTAGCTTTATTACATGGGTGCTGGGATCCCAACCAAGACTCTTATGCTTGCACAGTGAGCATCTTATGCACTGATCTCTTTCAGTTCTTCTCTCTAAGTCAGAGTCTTTCACTCACCTGGACAACGTTAAGCTTGGCTGACAGGCCTATGAGTCCCAAGGATCTGCCTGTCTCTAATTCCCCAGCACTGGATTACAAATGGAGTTTTTTGTTTTAAATAATTAAATTTTGATTTATTTTGAGACAAAGTTTAACTATGTAGATCAGGTTGGACTCAAACTCATAGTGATCTATCTGCCTCTGTCTCTGAGTGTTGGAATCAAAGGAGCGCGCCACTGTGTCCAGCTAAAGTTTTTTAAACTTTAATCTTTTTAAACGTGGTTGCTGGGGTCAAACTCTGGCCCTCATGCTTGCAAGGCAAACATCTTACCACTTGGGTCATCTCCATAGTCCATAGCTGCTTTATAACCCTTACACCTTACTTTTGCTGAGAATGGATAATTTTTTGTTTAAAATTATTTTTTTTCTGAGACTTTTTTTCTCTCTGTAACAGTCCTGGCTGTCCAGGAACTCATCGTGTAGATTAGGCTGTTCTTGAACTTGGGGGTCCATCTGTCTCTGCTTCCCAAGTGCTGGGATTCCAAGCGTGTGCCCCCCACCCTGTTTGGCCTTAGGATACTGATACTGGTTCTTTTGGGGTTCAAGTCTGGACACTGTGACAGTTTGTATAACTGGGGGCTCTCTCCGAGTAGCAGTGTTAGGTTTTGTTAGCTGATGGCTGGCCTGGGGACTGAGACCTAACTGCCCATCTGTCACTTGGTCAGCTGTTCATGTCTCTTTCAGCTGTCTTATTCTTAGCTGTGCTGTTTGGAATCTGCCCAGTATCTGGCTCAGAGTTCAACCAGAGATGGAGGCCATACTCCTGAGCCCAATTCTCATCTCCCCTTCTCAAACCTTTTCTTTTCTAGGAGGCCTGTGCCTTCCAGAGAGTCACGACACCCAGCTCCGGCACTCAGCTCTTTGGGCCAGGAAGACTTCAGGCCTCTCTAGAGTTTTTTTTCCTTGTCCACATGGCCTGCACCATGGTCTGACCTTGGAAACTCACCTGGCACCATTCCCTCTTCCTGTGTTGTTCCCTTACCAGAACCTGCATCTGAGGTCATGCTCTGGGGTTAGCTAGGCAAGTGTTGCTATATTGTTTTCACCCAGAGTTTGAGGTGTGACCCGAGGAAGAGTTAATTTTGCCGTATGAGAAACACAAGCCAGCTTGTCAACTTCTGTGATCAACGATTAAAAAAAAATCTGGGGTTTAAACTTAATTTTGTACCAAGTCTGCGGCAGACACTGAGGAGAACAGTGTTTTTACAATGTCAAGACTCCCCATCCTTTAATTTGGTTATGTTCCTCTAGGTATCTAGTCTTTGGGCAGTGTAAATTTTGCATGTGTGTGCAGGCCTAAAGTCTGTGTCTAACCTTTTCCTCTGCTTCCGACTTTCCTCACTGAGTCAGGGTGCCTTGATGAACCTGAAGCTCAACCGTTCTAGTAGTCTCGTTAGCCTTCCGCTGGGACCACGGGTGGTTGCCACACCTGCCTGGCTTTTACCTGGGCTCTGGGGGTCTGGGTTCTAGTCTTCAGGTTTGCATAGTGGCACTTTTTAAATTCACTGAACCATCTCCCCAGCTCTTCAACTTATCTCAACTGTGTTTTACAACTATCTGATTACAGGTCTGGTGTTTCCATTAGTTTCATGTCCAGGTGTTTGTTTTCATTTTATCTGTGTACCACGTGCATGCCTGGTGCCCACAGAGGCATGCTGGGTCCCTTGGATCAGGAGTTACAGGCAGTTGTGAGATGCCATGTGGGTGCTGGAAATTGAAGCTATATGTTCTTTTCAAGAGCAGCCAGTGCTCTTAACCATTGGGCATCTCTCCAGTCCCAAGGCATTTGCTTCTTGTTACTTTTTTTTTTCATATAAACTTTTTTTTTTGGTTTTATGAGACAGGGTTTCTCTGTATTGTTTTGGAGGCTGTCGGTCCAGCCCGGCCTCAAACTCACAGAGATCCGCCTGCCTCTGCCTCCCGAGTGCTGGGATTAAAGGCGTGCCCCACCACTGCTCGGCTTTCATGTAAACTTTTAAAAATTTATGTTCATTGGCATTTTTTTTGCCTGCAGGTATGTCTGTGTGAAGGTGTCGGACCCCTCAAAACTAGAGTTACAGACAGGTGTGAGCCGCCATGTGGGTGGTCAGTGCTCTTAACCTGGGAGCCATCTCTCCAGCCCCTTTGTTACTCTCATAAATGGTGCTACTTTATTTTTGTAACAGCCCGGGCTAGCTTCACATTCAACATCTTCTGTGTCAACCTCTGTGGAAAGACTCAGTGGGTGAAGGTGCTTTCCACACAAGCATGAGGAAGTGAGTTCAGTTCAGTCTTTGGGAGAAGAGAACCGACTTCACGGCTTCTTGCTGCCACACATGCTGTAGTGCGTGTGGCGGGCATGCACTCCTCACGTATGACACAGACACACAGGCACAATGAATTATTATAAAGTCTTTTGTTTTTGAAATAGTCTTCTGTAACCCATGTAGTGGAGGCATTTCACTTTTTTTTCCCCTTCAAGACAGGGTTTCTCTGTGTAGCCTTGCCTGTCCTTGAACTTGCAGAGATCAGCCTGCCTCTGCCTGCCCAGTGCTGGGATTAAAGACGTGCGTGCGCCACCATTGCCCGGCTGGCATTTCACATTCTAAGTGGCCAACCATTTGAGTACTTGGTCCCTGGCTGGTGGCGCTGTGTTGGTGGAGATCGTGGCACCTTTAGGATGTGGAGTCCAGCTAGATGAAGTGGAATGCTCAAGGATGAGCCTTGAGGTGTCGCAGCCAGGCCCTGCTTTCTGTCCAGTGGGTTTCTAGATGCTCCCAGGTGTGCACAAGCAGGCTGAGGCTCCTGCTACTGCAAGCCACTGGCTGCTCTGCACCCCCCCCATCCCTGACAACCGTGAGCCAGAACAAGGTCTTCCTCACATAGGTTCTCTTATCAGGCATTCTGTCACAGGAGCCAAGTGCCAGCACCAACCCTCTTTTAAAGGTGAGTCCCCAGTGACCTAACCATCTCATTTATTCTCGGCACTTCCCAATATTGCCATGTAGGCCACTAAACGTTTAACAAGTGCTTATTCAATGTGTAACGGCACTGGGTTTTCAGGGACCCGAGCTGACCTTTGGTTGTCTTTTTTTTTTTTTTTTTGGAGGGGTGGGGGTGGGGGAGAGCATGACACAGGGTTTTACACAGCTGCATTCAAAATTACTATGTAGCTGAGGCTGGCCTTGGACAACCCTGCCCTCACTTCCCAAGTGCTGGGATTGTGTGTGTGTGTGTGTGTGTGTGTGTGTGTGTGTGTGTGTGTGTGTGTGTACACCACTGTGCCCCGCTCCAAATTGAGTTTGGATTTTATATACTGGACATGTGAGCTGAATGAGGGGCAAGTTGTATCAGGAAGTGACCCATACGAGAAGCCCCGAGGAGCCCCATGACGGAGCAGAGCAACACTCTTCCAGGACGGTACTGCTGGCTGGCTCTTCCCGGGGAGGTAACCCTGATGGTGTGGCACTGGGGGTAGGGGTGGGGTGGGGTGGAGACACTGGGGGAGGCACGCTGCCAGGCTGGGCTCCCTCACGCAGTCTGAGTAAGCTCCTCTGAGCTGAACTGTAAGCCTGGTCACACAGCTATAGTTAGTTCTTTGTGGGAGTCAGCCAAGAGACTGCTGTCCATGAGTCATGCTAGAGTTCTGTAGACAGCTGGCTCTGGGGACCTGGGTCAGCTTCAAAGGGAGAGGGGCAGGACCAGGCATCAGACCCACGATGTCCATCTGTGTATGACATATGGACGGAAGGACAGTTAACCTCAGCGTGAGAACGGTGCAGCCGGTGCCCAGCCCCTTCAGGGTCCGGCACTTGGCTCTGTCACTCACCGGGAGTGAGACCCAGGCCTCGGACTTAGTGTCTAACTTCAGCTCCTCCCCTGCCTCGTAGAGAGCATTCGATGCCATTTGTCCCGAGGACCAGTGGCCACCCAAGTCTGGACCCAAGCAAAGGAGTCTTGGGGAGGGAATGCAGGGCAGGGGGAGGGCTCTGTTTCAGATGCTTCAAGCCACACACTGCTGTGTCCTCCTCCGGCTGCCTCAGGCTTCTGTCCAGGCATGAGAGATGGACAGGCCTACAAGTATCTCTGGCTTTTCCAAGTGTCCTTACACGGGGACGCTGGTGTAGGGGGTTGGATAACGACCCTTCCCCCAATTCACATCCGAACAGAACACGAGTGAACTGATTGGAGGAGAAACCTTTGCAGATGTAAGGGGTTAAAGACCTTTCAAAGTCATCTTGGATTTTGGTAGGTCCCAATCTCGTCATTCCAAGATGAGAGGTGTGCCAGCTACGGGAACGGCCGGTACCACAGGAGGAGCCCAGGCACAAGGTTAGCACAGGCAACACAAGACCCTGTCTGTCAAAATGAAACAGAGAGACCACAGCCAGGTGAGGCCAGAGATGACTGACACCACCTCAAGGCAAGGATGCCTCGGAACCCACAGGAGCTGGAGGCAGCAGGGACCCCAGGGACACAACTCTACCCATACCGAGTTCCAACCTTCTGTCTCTGGAACCACAGGATGATAGATCTCCTGTTTCAGACACACACTGAGAAACAGGCACCTGTGTGTGGTCAGGATCCAGTCCCTCGACTGTGGACCTCTTTGAGGCTGGATCCCTGCACAGCCAAGGCCAGGATGGCTTGGGAAAGTCACCCAGAAAGAGGGAACCAGCGTGAGGCCTCTAGCTACCATCCAGGTCTCTCTAACGTGCCTGCGTGTGCATTCCTGGAGGTTATCTAACAAAGGTTGAATTCCTTTGCCCTTCTGCCTCCATCCTTCCAAGCGCTGGGATTGCGGGTGTGTACGATCACCCAAGCTTCTGGAAGAGTCTTTTTAAGGCAGGAAAGAAAAAAAAAAAAAAAGGAAAATCATTTACCATGGCAAACCCTCACCCCACCGTGCTGGATCTGCGCTGACTGTGGCAAGTCTCCTCAGAAGTGAAGATGACCCCGGGAGGGTCAGCTACAGCGAGTTCTGAATTAAGGAGCTTTGCCACCTGGAATGCGTTTCAAAAAACGGAAAAAAGAAGAAACGTTTCCTCTGGAAACGTCCAACCTTTTGGTAAAAATAAGTAAATAAATAAATAAATAAAAACCAGAAAGAAAGGGGTGAAATAGTAACTAAAATGCTCCCACCAAATGCTTGCAAACATCAGTTTGGAGGATTTATTACCGCCCCCCCCCACAAAAAACGGTAAATACAGAACCAAGCTGCTTCCGGATGTCCAGCTTCGCCCGGGGCGCTCACCGCCCTGGTACCCAGGGGCTGTAGGTCAGAGGAGCCGACCATCGCGTCCGCGGCGTCCTCCACACACCGAAAGCGCCTTCGTGCCAGCCAGCCAGCCAGCCAGCCTCCCGCTCCGCGCTGACCGCCCGGGCTTCGGGAGCGCCGCGCTGCTGCCGCCGCCGCCCGCCTGCTCGCTCGCTCGCCCGCCCTGGCCGCAGCCATTTTGGAACGGCGCAGACAAAGGGCGAGCCCCCCTCAGCCGCCGCCGCCGCCGCGAGCCACCCGGCGCTTCGCCGCGGCTCGCTCGCCCAACCGGGCGAGCCATTCCCACGGGCGCCGGGAGAAGCCCGACCGACACCCAGGCGCTCGCCCGCTCCCGGCCTCTGGCGCTCGCAGCCATTGGCCGCGTCTTTTAAGAGCCGGCCGTAGCCAATCCGAGGCCGCAGGGGCGCGGGCGGGGGCGGTGCGTGCCGCGGCGCCTGCGCGGTGCGCCGCCCCTCCCCCTCCCGCCCGGCGCGCCGCGCCCCCGCCCGCCCCGCGCCCCGCCCCCCGCCCGCCCCGCGCCCCGCTGGAACCTCCTCCTGCCCAGGCGCGCTCGGCCGAGCGGCGGCGGCGGCGGCGGCGAGGAGGAAAGATGGCGGCGGGCTCGGATCTGCTGGACGAGGTCTTCTTCAACAGCGAGGTGGACGAGAAAGTGGTGAGCGATCTGGTGGGCTCGCTCGAGTCGCAGCTGGCGGCCAGCGCGGCCCACCACCACCACCTCGCGCCGCGCACGCCCGAGCTGCGGGCCGCGGCCGCCGGCGCGCTCGGGAACCATGTTGTGAGCGGCAGCCCGGCCGGAGCCGCGGGCGCAGGGCCGGCCGCCTCCGCCGAGGGCGCGCCCGCAGCGGCGCCGGAGCCGCCCCCCGCAGGTAGAGCGCGGCCGGCGGGTGGGGGCCCGCGGCACCC